AAACAAACAGGTGGACAGACTCTCTCTTCGCTTTGGACATTGGGAGATGATAAGCTAAGGTAATTTAATTTGATTTATGATTCTCACTTATCCTCAAAACTTAGAAATGAGAACTTTGAAGAAAAACATTATTAACAACAAGAACAATAAATTAAAATTTTTTTTTGTTTTTTTTAGATGTGTCTGGATATATACTCTGGCCAATTTTATTTAGTTTTTATCACTTTAATATTATTATTATACCTATATTAAATTTAGATAATTTGCAGTATAAGCACCAAAAGCAAGTATTGAGAATGTACCATTTTGGTGTGAAATTGCCTGGTTATTTCGAAAATGATGTTAAAACATTGTGCTTGATTACCGTTTTCGATTTATCATCAATGTAAGTTCAATCTCATTCATGTTGTCCGGCCACCATTACTGATGTTGTTTATATATGTTTTCCTCTAGTAGTAATGTGCAGAAGATTACTTAGTTAATGGTCTTTTTACAGCTTTTTGTATCTTACTCATTTTGATTATTGTACAATTTCTGCAGATGCTAATTTTAAAATGCACTTATTTTGTAAAATGAAGTTTTAAATGAATAGTATTTTTTCTTCATTGTCCTTAATAAATCTGTTTATGGCTAATGAAACAGAATCTCACCCTAAAATGTAATTTATGAAGCTTTAAATTCAATGAACTTTCATGACATAAAAAAAAACATTGTTAAAAAGGTGGAAAAAACCTTTTTTTACTTTTCAGGCATGTAATTTTTACTTTATTTTAATTGTCGGATTTTACGTTTTTTTGCACATTCATTTCAAACTTTGGGTATTGTGCAGTAATCAAAACAAGTGAAGTTTCCATGCTGCATGACTACTTGAGGTGAACGTATGTTAACAAAGCCTGTAATGGCGAACGTTTTGTGTATGTGACAAGTAAGAAGTCGAACTTATATCGTTCATAACTTCTAAACAGTAATCTTTTAATGTTATTTTCAAAATAGCCAAGCTATTTCACACCAGAATGGTACATTCTCAATACCAGGGACTTTTGGTGCTTATCCTGCAAATTACCTAATTGTTCTTTTAAATAAGTTTTATTGAAAATTATATACATTTTATATCTATTAAATTTCGCTTTCGTCTTTCCAAAATTTTAAATAAACTTCTGTAAACCTGGCTGCTTCATATGCACAAAATATCCAAAGTCAAGACTGTGTCCAAGCTTTCAACTCACATTAGTCATTTTCAGGGCTGTGTACAAGTAAAGTAAGATGAAAAAAATCAAAAGTGTTGTAAATAGTACATTTTATAATGTATAATCCATTTTTAAATTGAATCAGATTAATCCAAACATAAGAAGTTTTTCCAGCTATGTGCGACGACAATATGTATTTATGATGACATTTTTTTTTATATGCATTGGTGAATGTGAGGTTGGAGACTATAATCATTTTTATTGATGTATCGTTGTTTTTGCTGGATGAAAATGGCTTCAATAATTATTTGTAAGGTGCTAAGAACTATAGTTAGAATAATTATAACAACTAGCCAAATACTTCTCTTACAAACATTTCTCTTAGTAATAATTTAAGAATTCAGCAGACAATGTTATTTTATTTATGATAACGGGATTTTAGTGATTGCCTTAATCAGTTCCACTTGTTTGATACTGTGTCTGAAAGTGGCTCTTTTATGGCATCTTGGCCATTTGGTCAAGATCAATGTGTGGTATCTCTTCTTATCAGCTTAATTTCATTCATTTTCTCACTGAAACCAAGTAGTGTCTTTTCCCCTCTTTGCATTGTTTGATAATGAGCGATCATAGCTCTCCACAACTTCCTGACCTTTGTAGCTCTTAGCAGTGTTTGTTTTTATGCGATTTCTCCTAATCCCTGTTCTGCCAGTAACTTACACAAGTACATTAAGTATGTTATTCTTTGCTTACCTCCATCCCTCTTGCCTTTCAAGTATCCGGTATAATATCAATCCTCCTATATGAGTATGGATATTGAACATTTACCTCACAGATAAAGAAGAGATTTGAGGTAACAGACAAAGGGATAATGAGAATACCCTGGATGGAACATGTGAGAAATGAGGAAATTTTTAGGAAAAATGGAAACAAAAAGGACACCTGCAGAATGACAGTTAACATTTCTGGGACATGCTGAGGAAAGTGGGCTTGGTAAATATGGCACTCACAGGAGATACTGGAAGTAAGAGGGGTAGAAAGAAATGTGTAATCTACCTAAAAAAGTTTGTGTAAATGCATATGGGAGACCTGAATGCCAAAGTAGACAGGGAGAGCGCAGGGGAGATAGCTGGTAAATTAATTTGGACGAGGAACTCACAAAGAACATGGAGAAAAATGGATCCAGTGGTGCACAGCCAATGACCAGGAAATAGCCAACACATGGTTCCAAGAACATCAGAGGTGATTAAGGACATGGAGAAGCCCAGGAGGAGAAACTAAAAAACCAAATTGACTACATAACTATCAACAAAAGATTCAGAAATGCAAAACCTACTCAAGTGCTGACTGCAGAAGCAATCATCGCCTTGTTATATGTAAATTAAGAGTGAAACTACAGAAACTGAAGAAGCCTAATGCAGCACCCAAATTGCAATACAACAAACTCCTGAGTGACCCATACCTGAAAGAAAAACATATGGCCAGTGAGATATGAGAGACATAATGGAAATGAAAACTCAAAATGGGACACACTAAGAGAAGCTTTAGTGACATCAGTAAATGATATCATCCCAAAGGAGAATGGACAAAGAAAAGGCAAAAAAATGAATGGATCATTGATGAGATTCTCGATATGATGCAAAGGAAACAGAAAACTCTGTCAAGATATGGAATGGAATACAGAAAACTACACAATGAAATACGGACCTAATACAGGCAAGCTAAAGAAGAGTGGCTAAATAAAAAAATGTGCAGAAATAGAAAGACTGTGTACTACAAACAAAGGAGATATGTATAAATAAAATAAAGGAATTAACTGAACAAAAGACATGATTGTCAACAGGCTGCATAAAATCCAAGGATGGAACACTCATATTAGAGAAGGAAAAAATTCTTCACAAAGAAAGAGAACAACCGGGAATATACAAAATTACCAACGAGCCTGAAATTCTAAAAACCAAAGTAGAAGCAGCAATGGTCAAATTGAACAGAAACAAGGTGGCAGGGCCAGACGGAATTGTAATAGAGATGCTGACAGCCTTAGATGATTACAGAAATAATAAATGAAATCTACAAAAGTGGAGATATACTGGAAGATCTAAGCAGATATATTTTCACAGCATTGCCTAAGAAACCAGGCACAAATGAATGTGAACTCCACCGAACAATCAGCCTAATGAGCCACATAACAAAACTCATCATCTGTGTTCTGATGAATAGAGTGCGCAGCAGAATTAGGCCAGAGATAGGACAAGAACAGTGCGGGTTCGTTAAAGACACCGGAGCAAGGAATGTGATATTCATGCTCAGAATGTTACCAGAAAGAGCAATACAAATGCAGAAGAACATGCACCTGTGTTTTCTACACAAAGGCATTCAAAAATGTATGCCACAAAGATCTGTTGAAACTGTTCAGCAACCTTGATATATTTGGGAAAGATATTAGAATAATCAAGAACATATACTGGCAGCAAATAGCATGCATGTGCATAGAAAATGAGTTCAACAGATATATAAAAATAGAAAGGGGTGTAAGACAAGGATGTGTCTTCTCACCAGACTTATACAGTGAGGCAATTCTGAGAGAACTAGAAATCCTACCAGGATACATCATTGGCAGCCACAATTTTAACAATATGTATCATCTGTGTATCTTAATACACAGATGATACAATGTTGATTGCAGGTACGAAAATGAAACTACAAAACCTCCTACAGATGGTAGCGAAGGAGAGCGTGAAGAAGGGACTAAGCATAAACTACAAGAAGACAGAATGCATGATCATCAGCAAAAAGATGTACCCAAAATGTGATTTACTGATCAGGGACACTAAAATCAAGAAGGTGTGGAAATTTAAATATATGGGAAGTGTTCTGATAGAGGTTGGTAAGTGCGATGTTGAGATCCGAAGACATATTGGGATGGCCAAAGATGCATTCCAAAAGCTAGGTAGAGTATTACGAGACAGGAGGATTTTGTTGGTAACAAAGAAATGTGTGCTGAACTGCGACATGATATCTGTCCTCCTTTATGGCAGTGAATGTTGGACAATCTCCTCAAAGATGAAGAAGAGACTCGAGGGAACAAAGGTATTGTTCTACAGAAGGGTGCTAAGGATACAATAGATTGAACATGTGAGCAACGATGAGGTTTTGGAGAAGATGCAAACAAAGAGGAAACGTATACTTCATATCAGGAAGAGGCAGCTGAAATTTCTGGGACACGTAATAAGAAAGGAGGGCTTGGAAAATTTGATGTTCACAGGATAGATAAAAGGAAAGCAGAATAAGAGAAAGCAACGTGTGACATACTTAGCAAGCTTAAGCAAGTGGATGGAAGAACGGTGTCTGGGAGAAGTAACAAAAAGACAAAACTTACAAAACTACAAGGAAGTAGAGTACCATGATCACCTATGTCCCGAAGGAACATGGCACATAAAAGAAGAAATGCATGACAGAACAGGGATTGAGAGAGACAGAATAGGAAGTTGTGGAGAACTATGATCATTCATGTTCTAAAGTGACACAGTACATAAGAAGTGAATTGTGTATTTTGCGGCTTGACTCCTGATAACTCGAAGTTGAGAAGAAAGATTACTGATAAATAAGAATCACTTTAGCGGTCGAACAATATAATATGGCCATCTTGATCAAGCACCTTGGAACAACTGACTCAGCTAAGAACTTTATTCCAGACAATTTGAGCCTAAAGTAATGGCTAAGCCCATTACCTTTGGTAAGCAGCTCTTCCTTCGAAGTTGCAAGCTGGGTCTGAGTTGAAAGTGTAACGATGTAAAGGTTGCAATCCGACAGTTGTTAGGCACAGTATTTGTTAATGACAAATGAAGCATTGACAGACATTGTTGCATTGTTCAAGTCTTGCATTTTTTCTGTTTGCAAGAGGGGAAAAGGGGAAGACAGAATGGGGACTGGGAGAGAGAGGAGTGAGTTAATGAGAGAAAGACTAAGAAAGCAAGTTAGAAAAAAAGAGAAAAAAATTATAAATGAGAAAGAGAGATGCAGAGAGAGTCTGGGGAAAATATGTTGGGTAGGAAGTGAAGACAGTGTGTAGTGAGAGAAGAAAAGACAGGTACAAATGGAGAGAGAATGAGAGAAAGAGAGAGAAGTGAGGAGAGAGCTGGGGACAATCAGAGAGTCCAAAAGAAAGCGAAAGAAAAAGACAGAGATACATAATGGAAAAGAGAACAACAGATAGGAGAAAAGAGAATGAGAAACATACACAAGGAAGATAGAATAAGGGGTAGACAGAGAGTGAGTGAGAATAAGGGGTAGACAGAGAGTGAGTGAGAATAAGGGGTAGACAGAGAGAACAAAAGACAGACAAAGAGAGAGGGAACAAGAGACACGGAAGGAGAGTGAGAGAGATCAGGAGACACGGAAGGAGAGTGAGAGAGATCAGGAGACACGGAAGGAGAGTGAGAGAGATCAGGAGACACGGAAGGAGAGTGAGAGAGAGCAGGAGACACGGAAGGAGAGTGAGAGAGATCAGGAGACACGGAAAGAGAGTGAGATAACAGGAAAGAAGAGAGAGATAACAGGAGACAGGGAAGGAGAGAGAGATAACAGGAGACAGGGAAGGAGAGAGAGATAACAGGAGACAGGAAGGAGAGAGAGATAACAGGAGACAGGGAAGGAGAGAGAGATAACAGGAGACAGGGAAGGAGAGAGAGATAACAGGAGACAGGGAAGAAGAGAGAGATAACAGGAGACAGGGAAGGAGAGAGAGATAACAGGAGACAGGAAGAAACTAAAATGTGAGACAGACAGAGAAGGAGGGAAAGAGAGAGTAGGTTAGAAGGAGAAAGTAAAAGAGAGAATAAGACATAGAGGCTGAGAAAGAATGAGATTTAGAGAGGGATTGAAAATAAGACAGAGAGTGAGAGAGTAATAGATAGAGAGTGAGAGAAAGAATTAGAGATAGACAAAGGAGGAGAGTGATCATAAATAAAGAGGATGAATAATAGATAGACAAAGAGGGAAAGAGACAGTATGAGACCTTGAGACAGAAAATAATAGACAGACAGACAATAGACAGACAGGTGGTGAAGAGTAAAAAGGAACAAATACACGGAAGGAGTTTGGAGGAAAGAGAATTGGTTGGGGAACGAGACAGACACAAAAAGATAAATAGAAACGAACAGTTGATGAGAAAAGAAACAAAAAAGAGACTTCATGTGTGTTCTATTTACAAATGACATTACTGAGTGATAGCTGTGTTTATAAAAGTTACTCAGCCAATTGGCCGTCTCTTTCAGTGTTCATAAGAAGAGGCAATAACAATACGAGACAGACTGGTCGAGGTGGTGAGGATGGAGATAACAGAGAAACAAATGGCTTCTCTTTAAGAAGTCGGTAGTCGATGCAGTAATTATTTCCTCTCAGTTCGAGATTTTGTGTTGGACAAAAATAAAGTCTAATATATGCATTTAATGATGTTCGATTAGCTCGGCTAAGTATTAAAATTAAACCTCTTCTCATGTCATCATATAATTCAATGCTTTTTGGGTGGGGAATAAATGAATAAGAGTAAGAGAGAGAGGAAGGTATGAGGAAGAAGATGGAGGGTGAGGAGAGAGAGAAAACATAAAGAGAGAAAACGATTAGATATCAGAGAAACAGAAAGAGAGTATGTTAAAAAGAATACATAGACGTCATATTGTCGTCTTAATTTCCGGCAAGAAGAAATTTTGACAAAATATCTTTATTCATTCTTTTTGGTAAAATGTTTCATTTTTTTAGTCTCAAATAGAAAAGTGTAAGACAAGGATAGGTCTTCTCCCCAGATCTTTTCAAACTCTACCACAATGCTACCCTACAGGAGCTGGAAACGCTTCTTTAAGTGCCTTTTCCCCTCAGGAGATAGATGATCATGGCTCTCCACAATTTCTTGCTCTTTGTAGCTCTTAATAAATTTTGTCTTTTCATTATTTCTCCTAAACACTGTTCTTCCATCACTTTACTCAAGCTCATTATGTATGTTATGCACTAAACTCTGTCCCTCTTGCCCTCAATCTGTCCTGTGAGTATCACATTTTCCAAGCCCTCCTTCCTCATTATGCATCCCAGAAATTTCAATTACCTTTTCCTGATGTTAAGTATAAATTTCCTTTTGTTTTCCATTTTCTCTAAAACCTTGCTGTTACTCACACGTTCAGTCCATGGTATCCTCAGCATCTTTCAAGTCTCTTCTTCATCTTTGAGGAAATTGTCCAGCATTCACTGCCATATAGGAGGACAGATATCATATAAGGGTTCAGAACTTTTTTCTTTGTTTCTAACAAAATTTACCCGTTTCTTAATTTTCTACCCAGCTTTTTTGGAAGGCATCTTTGGCCATGTGAATTCGTCTTCAGATTTCAGTGTAGCACATGCCATTCTCTGTTAGAATGCTTCTCAGATATTTAATTTTTTTTTACTTGTTTGATTTTGGCATCGCCGATATATAATTTGCATTTTGAGCTCATCCTTTTACTGACAACCATGCATTCTGTCTTCTTGCAGTTTATGTTTAGTCATTTTTTCTTGCTTTCCTTCTTTCTTTTATAGTTTTCTTTCAATGTATGCTATCAATACTGTGTCATCTGCATATCTTATTATTTATATTATTCAGACAGTTATCCTTATTTTCATTGCCATACTCATAACGTTTCAGCCATTGTACACTCCTGCGTTCTTCAGGCGATTGGAATTTCGAACTGAACCCTTTATTTTGTCTAATGGGGCAGATTAATCTAGTTCCACGTGCCATGCCTCTTCCAGATATCTCCAGTTATTTCTCTTTAACTCAACTCTCCAAGTTTGGTTCACCACTGCTGTGGCCTGTTATTGAACTCACAACTCTTTTGGGTCTATTCACCGGATTTCACCAACATCTTTATCCACTGGGCCATTGACGATAACAGTCCAAATGATGTAAATAATGTAAGTAATCATAATAACTCATCTCAGAAATATAGACAGATGTATATCTTATGTTATTAAGACTGTGGCCACCATTAATGATCTCTGATCGGACTTGTAATTCTCTCAGAATTGCCTTGCTGTATAGGTTAATAAGTCCAGTGAGATGACACATCCTTGTCTTACACTCCTTTCTATTCTTGTATATCAGCTGAATTCATTTTCTTTTTTGTAGGCAGGTGGTTTTATGCCAGTATAAGTTCTTGATTATTGGGGGGGGGCAATCTTAACAATCTAACATGTACAGATGACACTGTACTAATGGCCAACTCAGAAAGAAAACTGCTGGACCTCCTAGACAAGGTAGTAAAGGAAATCAAGAAAAAAGGATTTCTTTCTTTTTTAATCATTTCACCATAACAAGGCAAGAAAGCCACTAAGATGCAAGGGGTTGCTGATTGTGAAAGAATATAAGAAAAAGAAAAACTTTATTAAGGAGAGAGAACAATAAAAGAACAGGAACTAAGAAGACAGAAGATAACAATTGATATTGCATTTAAATTTTTGAAAATCAAACTTGACTGGGAAGCAAGGAGTCGGAAGAGAGTTCCACAAGCAAGAAGTGTGAGAAAAGAAACTGTTAGTATAGAACTTATAATTATACCTACCCATTTCAACTATAAAATGATGAGACCTAGCTGCCAATCTAGTACTGCATTTAAATTCATAAAGCCTTCTTTTTCCTTTTTAAATCATTTCATTCCTAAGCAAGGTAATAAAGCCACTAAGATGCAAGGGGTTATTGAGTGTTAGAGAATATGAAAAGAGGAGAGAGGACAATAAAATAAAAAGAATTAAGAAGATAGAAGATAACAATTGACATGTGATTTAAATTTTTAAAGATCAATGTTGACTAGGAAGTAAGAAGCCAGAAGAGAGTTCCACAATTGAGAAGTACCAGAGAAGAAATTATTAGCATAGAACTTATGGTTACATCTAGCCATTTCATCTGTAAAATGACGAGACCTAGCTATGTATCTAGTACTGCACTTAAATTCATAAAGTCTAGGGACAAAAGAGGAAAGCTCATCAGAACAAGTACCATAAAAATGTTTATAGAAAAGGCACATGGCAGATATGTTAAGGTGGTGGGAAATTAACTGAAGATGAGATGCCAGGACAAATAACATAGCAGATTCTTCTTTGTATTTCACTAATCTCTAAACAGATGCCCAGTAACTATACGGGATTCATTTTTGCCGAGTAAAACAACCCCACATGCAAATTAGAAATTGGAGATACCAAAATCAAATAAGTATAAAAATTTAAATATCTGGGAAGTCTTTTAACAGAGGATGAAAAGTGTGACATTAAAATCCGAAGGTGTATTGGGATAGTGAAAGATTGTTGAAATACTCACATCCTACCAGCAGGAATAGCCTTGTGTTCATAGGAATAAAAACGCACAAGGAAATAACACTAAAAGCATGTTAAATTGTAAATTAAAATCAAAGCTTCTGCTATGTATAGCAGAAGCTTAAAAGTGTAAGAAAGTGTGAAGGTTAGCAAGTGGACTTACACTGCATTGCAAGTCACAGCAACATAATATCAACGCAGCAAGTGGTAAGATTGCCTGCACAACTTATGGTCACTCGCTGGACTTATGAACCACCAGAGACAACATCCACAGCAAGGGAATCAATAATAAAGTTATGGAAGTTGTCATATTCAGACACAAGTTAACTTTCCACCATTGTATGTCTCAGAAAGAACAAGTTTGTTCATGTACGAACATTCAGAAAAAAAAAGTAATAAAGTTAAAAGGAAGTCAATTAGCTACTGGGATGTCTGCCAATATAGGTGGTGACTTTTGTGTATAAAAGTTATACTTCTCTGTGCTCTGTCTCTTCAGTATGTTGGCGATCATAGCTCTCCACAATTTTCTGTCTTTTGTAGCTCAATAAATTTTGTCTTTTTGTTATTTCTTCTAAATCCTATTCCACCATCCATTTACTCAAGCTCACCAAATTAGTTATGCATTGTTTTCCTCTATGCTTCTTACACTCAGTCCTGTGATTATCAAATTTTTCAAGCCCTCTTTCCTCATTATGTGCCCTAGATATTTCAGATGTCTCTTCTTGGTGTTAAGTACAAGATCTGATCAAAAAGTATTAGAACTATCATGATATACAGAATAAAACCACTTGGCATAGATTGACGTTTAACTCCGTTGCACATGCACACTAAGTTATAATGTTCTCTCTCATTTCCATTCTTTATAGCAATGCTTGAGAGGAAAGTGTGTAGAGTGTGGGCATTTCACCACACCACAGAATTTCCATCAGTGACCATGGCTTGTACAGCGGTTTTTGATGAGGTACAACATTCCACAGATCCAACAATTACCATATTCTCCAAATCTTACCCTCCCCCACCCTTGTGACATTCTCCTGTTAAAAAATCAAATTCCAGTTGAAAGAAACATGATTTCAAGATGTTGAGGCAATTCAAGAGAATGCAACAAGGCAGCTGCTTGCTATTCCAAAAAGAAATTCCAGCAATGCTTCCATCAATGGAAACGACACTGGATAAAGTGGGTGGCTTCAGCAGGGAGACCACTTCGAAAGATATTAAATACCAAAGTGATATGCATTGTAGTCTTCTTTTTATAGCACACCCTGATATTTTTTTTTTATCAGACCTCATGTAAGTGACTATTTTCTTTAAGATATTCCCATTGCTCATGTGTTCAATCCACGGTATTCTTAGCATCTTTAAATAGAACCAAATTTTTGTTAACTGAAATCTCTCCATATGTGAGGAAATTATTCAGCATTCAATGTCCTACATGACAGTGGATGCTGGATAATCACATAACAGTTCAGTACTCTTTTTTTCATTTCCAATGAAATCTAAACTAGCTCATTAGGTAGGTTATATGCTGCTTTCATCTGTCACTCTTCAATAAGTCCTGTGAGTGTCAAATTTTCTAAGCCATTCAAGAAAACTAATATTTTTCTTTACGACTTTCTGTCAGAGATCCTTTGCTTATTGGCCTTTATTTCTGAAGTTTTTGTTATATATTTTTTCACCATTTCTAGAGACTATCTTCTGTCACTCTTTTAATAGATCAAATATTTCAGCTGGCATCTACTTTTTTTCTAGTCAGTCTTTCATCCAGATGATTCTGTTTGCTGTTGTCCTTCATAGAGCATTTCATTGTGAGTTTCTTGGCCCATTACACAGTTTCATATTTGTTATTAACTGTGATTGTGTTTGTTTGCAAATGGAATTGCTGTAGAGTTCATTGTATTACAGTTTAGGCACTGCTTTGGACTTCTTTAATTCCTGCAGTTTGTGGGATGTCCACACACATATCCCCATACGACAACTGACCAATGGCAGGAGACATCACAAACAATTAGCAACAAATCAGAGATCTCTAAAAACGAATAGATAACGCTTGTAATTAGTTTATGGAAAAAGAAGAAAATTATCCTCAACTGAGCCAGTTTAATTTGGGAAGACATAATTAGAGGATACATCACATGATCATCTCAAATGGAACCAATTGACTGGTTAATTATGCTTCTTAGTTTTCAAAACCTTTAAATCTGAGAACCAGCTGTTAATCTGTTCCTACAAGCGGATTGATTCTGTGACACAAATATATATATATATATATAATATATATATTACTTGTCAGCTGTCAATATACCTCATAAGCTTTGGAGTGGGTAGAATGGGGATCAACATGTTTTAGTGGACTCAGCAGTTTTCAATCAGCTTGTCTGAATAGTCTTCAAGAAGCAAGAGCAAGATCTAAAAGGTCAGCCAATCTAACAGTGATTTCAACCTACAATCCTTACTCTTGCTCCATATGTGCCCTCCTTTGTAAATCACTAGCAGGTCTTAAGTGCCACTTAAGATTATCGCACAAAATTTCATAACTGAATCACTTAAGTTGTCAAATCCTTATACATTGAAACTTATGGGAGAGAGTCCATTATATATGAGAGAGAGACAGAGTTATAAGTAGGTCTCTTGTCATTTCAATCAAGCACTATTGAGAAATAGGTAATTTCAAAACAGTAGCCATTGCTGCACCACTTTTCATTAATGAATTGTGCACTCTGGCTGATGACATTTGTATACATTCATATATAATATGTTAGAATTTCCTTTTCTCTGCCATGCACTGATAGCTTAGGGGTAAGATCTCCAACTGATGCCAAATTAGTCGGGTTTTGATTCCAGCTTGAAGCAATTAGATGTCTAGCCACACTGATGAGATGTGATACAGAAAAACAGGCTTGTATATGAATGACTATATATATGAGAGAGAGAGAGATACATAAATAGATAGATAGGTACATAGGTAGGTATATACAGGGTGCGATGAGTAAATTTTCGCCATTTATATTTTTAATTTCATGCATACATGTATGTTTTTGATTGTTTGACTGCACAGTATAATAGGGTCAGTTGGGCACCATCTAGGAGAAAAAGAGCACCATGATGCAACTCACTTCGTCAGAAATTTGGAAATGGCATGCTGTACTGCATTCACACTGAAAGCTCTAAAACGAATATTTTAGAGTGTCTGGATGTCAACCTGAGGATAGTGCAAAGGATTCAGAAAGAGTTGGATGAGTTTAATGGTGATTACAAAGGTACAGCAGCTTGGAAAACATACTCTGATTATTCTGATAAGAAAAGAACTCACAGAGGCCTACATAAAGTGCCTTGAGGAGGTAGTGCTGCCCTTGGTTGAGAGAGTGGCTGCTGGAAGACCCTATGTCTGGTAACATGACTCTGCACCATGCCACACTAGCAGGAGAATTTCTGTGACCACATCACCCCTTACATCTGGCCACCTAACTCCCTAGACTGCAACCCCCTTGATTATTATGTATGGGGCACAGCTGAGTGAGAGTCCAACAAAAGTCTTTGTAATACCAAAAATGAACTGAAGGCAAAGATTATGGCAGCATTCACTAACTTAAATAAAGAGATCATGCAGAAGAGTTGGAGGCAATTTTGAAGTCATCCAGAGGCTGTGTTTGAAGCCAATGGCGATTTTATTGAATAAATTTACTCTTTAGTATTTTAAGATACTTTTATGTAATTTAGGTAAATTTATTTGTTAAAATGAGATGTCATTATTATTTTCATTTTTGCATAATTTAGATGACAATTTATCCATATCATCCTGTAGACACAGATAGATAGAGATATAGACAGATATCAAAATGGATTTTCTGTCGAGAATAGAAAAGTAACTCACTCCACCACCATAAGTTGTGGAACGTCCAGTTCATCATAGATCATAGCCACTTGCAAGCTTCTTACAACAGCTGCTGTCAGCAAATTATTTGTACATTTAAGAATATGAGTTAAGTTTTTAAGCTAATGCTTTGGTTCTTTAGCAACTTGTGGTTGCGGGCAACACCACCTCTTGTGCAACCTATTCTATGTTCAATTTCCTCATCTCCTATACTAAATTTATTATAACTGATATATATTGGTCCAAGTTATTTGAAGTGTTTGGTATTTACTGATGCCACATTCTGAATTTTTATGATGGATTCAGGCTAAAATGCTTGGTTCAAATAAAAGGTCTGTATGTATATGCATCAATATATATATATATATATATATATATATATATATATATATATATATATATTCAGTTGCATGGATAGTAGTATGTAATCCCAGGTTTCAAGCTTTTGTGTTCATCAGACTTGTTTATTTTTTCAAAAGTGAATCTATTTATGCTTATTTGTCTTTGATTATCTGTGTGTGGTGGAGGGGGAATTTTCTTTGAGATGATACTCTCACATACATACAGGTGTATGCATTTTCATTCATACAAACACACCCATATAAATAATCTGAGGTTAGCCGCAGTTACACATCCATGCGTTCGAGCATATATATATATATATATAAAAGAAATATGTTGTAGTGGTTCCAACGAGAGAAAAGTATGTATATTAAAAAGAAGAGAAGAGAGGTGTTGCAAACGTTTTTGGTTGTAATGTGGATTTATTTAGAAAAAATATTATGCTTTGTTTTACATAATTTTACTACGACACGTGTTTCTGGTCTCGCGACCGTCTTCAGGTAAAAGTGGAGATTTCTACATATTATTAAAAATAATATTATTAAAAATAATTAATTTTTCTTCATGTTCAATGTGAGATATTCTCGATATGAGACATTCTCTGTTTGTGTGTTGGTAATCCGAATTTCTTTCTACAATTCTAGAATGGATAAATATAAGTAGGTATATGAGTAAGTAATTGTATAACTGTATTGTGCATTTAATGTAAGATATTATGTATCTTTCTTAATAATTATATATATATATATATATATATATATATATATATAATCTGCTACGAAAAAATTTAAACCAGCTAACTTTATACTCAAAAATAACAGCACACCAGAAAAATCAAAATCACAATGAATGAACATTATCTATGAATTGAAATGCCCCTTAAGGAACTGTGTTCCTGATCAAACTGAATTAATAAATAATTACATCAGTCACACTGCTACATGCCTATCTGGATGCCTTATATTACACCTATCCAACCACCACAGCTCTATTAGAATCCATTTAAACACACACACAAAGTTTACCAGACTCCATCCGAAACATACTAGTAGAAAATACAAGCATAATAACCTCATCCACATGTAAAAAAAATTCAAATTATGGAAGCCTTCATAATAAAAAAGAAAAAGCCAACACTTAATAATATTAACTATGAACACGGCCACAATGTGCTGTGTTCAGAAAATAAAACATCCCTATAACTCCAGAAACATACATACAATTCATATACCTAATTAAAAAGCAAAAATAAAATCATCCCTGATAATGGCTAAAAGTATAGCTGAAAGTGCTTGGAATTACAGGATATTTGGACAGTTTCTACACACTCCAAAAAAAAAAAAAACATTTGTTCATACACAAGAAAAATAAAAAGCTTAATCATAGTATCTTGTCTGTTTTCTTTAATGAAACGTGTATAAATGAAGGATTGCTGCCTAAATACACAATATAGATAGATAGATAGATAGATAGATAGATAAAAGGAATCATTTAAAAATTCAGCAAGTGTCATTGGTGCCAGCATGTTGGTAACAGTGAGTAGGCAATTGGTAGTAGTTCCTTTAAAGTTACCATGATCAGGCAGATCCTTCTGAAGTAAGTGTGGTTACTGATTTTTGGGCCTTCAATATAGCCTTTCATTTGTTTTCAGAAATCTGATTGGTCTATTGTTCTTCTTTGGTTACATATGTTTTTGGGTTTGGTTTTTATTACTATGTCCACACAGAACTAATTCAGTAAAACCAATTCTGAGAATTGCAACCTTGAAAGCACAAAGAAAGTAAAACATTGAGCTTATGTAAATGAACTGGAGAGCAGGGACTGGGAGGAACAAGACAAACATGAACTACAAAATATAAGATGTTGCGGAAAGCCATGATTTCCGACATCCTGAAAGAACATCACACAGGCAGGAAGAAGACTGTTGTAGATTTTTCTGCAGAAATTTCTCTGGTTTGGGCCAAAAACTGAAACATGGTTTCCTGTATCTATCTGGAGATAAACCATATGATATTTTACAACAGTTTCCCATGAAGTCACATAGCACTTTAGTATTTTCTTATTAATTCACTCACAAATGCAGGAAGATTGATGTTGTTAACAATTAAATTTATCAACAATGTAGTTACAGGTAAATTAATCTTTTTTCAGCTATATTATTTTGGATAATTTCCTTTTTTTTTTTCACAGTTTATGGTTAAGCCAAAGTTGAGGCCCAGTAAACTATTAGTAACATCAGCAATCACGAAAGTCAATTGAAAAGATCATTTTGAACAAAGAATTTCAATCTCAAGATTTGCTTGTTCTTGACATTTGATTTTTTCTTGCCGCTGGCAGATGAGAGTGATACAGCAGATGGGTCCAAAACATTTCTGTTCACAGGAGAAATTGGTAATACAGAAGTAATAGCACCAGTGTCAATCATAAATTTTATTTTGGTAATTCCCTGTCACGCCATGCCTTCCAGAAAAACAAGTCTGTTGGAGCTAACACATTCGGACCAGTTAATTTTCTGCGTTACTGAGAACAAGTCAGTCATTGAGAATTGGTTAACATTTGAAGGTTACTTTGCTTTTCTAACAATCTATGCTAAGGTTTACACGTTCTTGCCTTGTCAGTGTAAGAAATATTTTAGGTCTTTGTTCTTTACAGAATTGTCTTCATCCTATTGATAATGTATTTTTATTATGGCCATATTCTTTCTGTGCATTTTTACTATATTTGTGTGAATCTGACAGCATTTATTCACTCAATATAAGGCCCAAGAGCCACTTAAGGTAGAGGGGTACTGAATGAGGTGTGTGGTATAGAAATAAGAGGAGGAAATAAGAAATGAAAGTTATGAGGATATGGAGGACAGATAAGGATTGACCCTTGACTTGGGGAGGTTAAGATTGTAATGCTCAGAGAAGCATCCAAGCAGGAGTCTGTTCCAGAAAGTAATTGTTCTTTGAGAGAAGTTACCTAAGTGAAACATCCTTCTTATGAATGAAAGACATAGGAAATGAGGGTGATATAAACCTGTGGATGTGTCAAGGATGGTTTTGACTCTAAAGGTTTAAACTCATAGGGCTAAAGAGTGACGCTCATCTGAAAATTTGCAATGGAAGTAATGACAGAGTAGCAAGAGGCTAGCAATATTTTTCCTGTTTGGTAAGGAGCTGTAGGGTGGGAAATAAGTCCTCACTCACAAGGCTATGCAAACATATTTGAATTCTGACAAGGCTGGAAAGATACAGCTGAAATATAGCCACAATACTCCATTTTTGATCTAATCAGACTCTTGTAAAGACAGCATGTAAAGGTAGAGACAGTCTCATTTTTTTTCTTCTTTCTCTACTAATTTATCCCTTTATAACTTAGGAAAGCTTTCTATATTATTAGTATCCTTGAAAAACGCTGAAGAATAGATTTGCTATCATGGTGTAATAACTACAAAATGAATCAGATGAACTCTCAGAATTTCAATTTGTGTGTGTGTCTGTGTGTGCACAAACCCTGAAGTCTACAAAAGATTCTGATGTTATTTTATTTCTTCAGATTTATATATATATATATATATATATATATATATCTGAGCTCATCTCAAAATGCAGACATGAAAACAAATTTTTACAATGTTACTTAAAAATTGAAAACAGAAAAAATAAAATAAAAATAAATAAATAAACAAAATGATGATAAAATAAGTAAAATAAATTAACCCAAACAAATTACCAAATCACACCAGTTGGAATAGACGGAATAGAATAAAAAATAAGAGAAAAAAAATCAATGAACCTAAATAAATAAAGTAAATAATAAACAAATTAGCAAACCATTATGACCAAAATATTAGTTACACTACAAAAATCAAACCAAAAATCGGACGAAAAAATAGCTATAACTCTTATATAATGATAAAAAAATGCTATGTCACTTAAAAATCGAAAACTGCAAAGAGAAAATATACAGTATAACAAATAAATAATAACAAGTTAAATAAATTGACCTAAATTCATCTAAATAAACTAACAAACTGATCCCGATAAACTAACCATTAGAAAAAACTAATAAAGATAATCAATCCAAATAAATATATGAAGTAATAAACAAATTAAAAACTGCTCCCACCAAAATAATAGTTAGAATAAACTAGAACAGTCAACCCCAAAATAAATAAATAGCTTTAATTATCTTCCCAAACCAAAACAAAACAAAACTATTAAATAAGCGATATAAATAAATTTTTACTATGTTAATAAAAACACCAATTAAAATAAAAATAATAAATAAACACACAAGAAATAAAAATAAAAAATAAAAACAAGTAAAATAATTTAACCCAAATAAATAAATAAACAAATAAACAACTTCTGGTAAAATAACCACCAAAATAGACTACCCACAATGCACCACTGACTCGTATATATATAAAAATGACCGAGAAAAATAACAGCACTCGTGGCCTGACGATTGCATCTAGCATGAAACAGACTGTCGCCTCGAAGTGTTGACTTCTATGTTCACATTTATATTTGCACACACTCTATCTCTGATATTGAGAACTTTATCCCATAAATATAGCACACCTTAAGACTATATTTCTTCATAAATATATATATATAGCTAGTTTATTCTATATATGTATATATATATACAGCTAGTTTATGATAACTATAGATATATATATATATATATATATATATACAGCTAGTTTATGATAAGTATATATATATATATATATATATATATATATATATATATATATACAGCTAGTTTATGATAACTATATATATATATATATATATATATATATATATACAGCTAGTTTATGATAACTATATATATATATATATATATATATATATATATATATTTATATAACTATTTATATATATATATATATATATATATATATATATATATATATATATATATAACAACTAGTTTATGATAACTATATATATATATTTTTAACAGCTAGTTTATGATTTTATATATATATATATATAGCTAGTTTATTCTAACATATATATATATATATATAGTTAGTTTATTTTTCTATATATATATATATATAATTTAGTCCAATTATATATATATATATATATATATAGCCAGTTTATTCTAACTATATATATATATATATATATATATATAGTTTATTTAACCATATATATATATAGCTAGTTTATTCTAATATATATATATATAGATAGTTTATTCTAACTATATATATATATATAGCTAGTTTATTCTAACTATATATATATATATATAGCTAGTTTATTCTAACTATATATATATATATATATATATATATAATATATATACAAATTGAACATTGAAGTCAACACTCAGAGGCAAAGGCTGTTTCATGATAGACACAATTTTCCAAGGCACAACAATTCCGTCTATCACTTAATCAGCCTGTCGCCTCTGAGTGTTGACTTCAGTGTTCATTTTATATTTATACACACTATCTCTGATATTGAGCACTTTATTCCATAAATATAGCACACGTTAAAACTATATTTATTCATATATATATATATATATATATATATATATATATATATATATATATATATATTTTTTAAGCATTTCACCCAAGCAAGGCGGGAAGCCACTAGCACGCAAGGGGTTACAGAGAGTTGGAGCGAGAGCAAATAGGAGTGATAGAGGAAAGGATGAAGAGAAGGATAGGGGAATCTATCAGCGCATCTGGAGATGTCGATTGACATTACATTTGAATAGTTGGAGATTATAGCTATCAGAGAAACAGGAAGAGGGGAGGGAGTTCCACAGGCGAGAGGTGTGAGATGAAGCTCTTGAAGTAGAAGAGACGGCCACATTTAACAGTTTTGACACTGAAAGGGTGTGAGCGAGATTCCAGCCTAGTAGAACGCTTAAATTCATGAATGTTGGGAACCAGCGAAAGCAGCTCCTCGGAGCAGTTATCATGAACATATATATCTATATGAGTGTGAATAAAGACAAAATGAAAACTTTTCTTAGCTGAGGTGTTTTGTCCTCTGATGGACTTTAATCTAAAGATTTTATTTTGCAACAAATATTTATAAACAAAAGTAAAAATGTTCATTTTTCGGGAATTTTTAAATTTAAGAATTCTCACAAATATACATCAGGCTAAATGAAAGTCAAGGTAAATTATGGATTTAAGTGTTAAGTGACATCAATTAATGTTTTATTAGGCATTGAAGTCAACACTCTGAGGCGACAGAATGTTTCATTACTAAATGCTATTCTCAAGTCACCTGCTGATTGCATTTAGCATGAAACAGTCTGTCATCTCTGAGCATTGACTTCAATGTTCACTTATATATATATATATATATATATATATATATATATAATAATAATGGACTCTCCTGCATAAAACAATTGATTTATGAGGATCTGACAGCTTACTTGATTCAGTTATGAAAATTTGTGTGATAATCTTAAGTGGCATTTAAGACCTGCTAGTGATTTACAAAGGAGGCCAC